CTGACAAAAACAGTTGGCTCACAGGGCGGACCAACCATCTTCAAAATAAAAAGATGTCGGCCCGCCAAGTTATTTATCGGGGCTGGGCCGACGGACCGACGTAAATTTTAAACACTGTGACGTGACCTCTTTCAGCATGAAAGTAAACTATCAGTGCTGTTTAGCAGACGACACGTCATTTTTTATCATTATTAAAACTGACCTGATGTCACATGTTAGGATAGCCTAAATTTATGGAATGATAAACTCTTTGTTATTGTTCCCATAAGACATATTGCACATGCTTGATTTCGAAGACTTGGGTCTAGTGTAGGGCTGTATGATATTGCAAAAAAGGGACGATATCAATATTGGCATTTTTTTTCAACGATATAGTTAAATATCGCGATATTTAATAATAATGTCACCTTGCTATTAAATAAATTAAATATAAATGCATTAAAGCTGACTACAGTGTGAGTAAGAATTGTGGGTAAAAATTGCTTTAATCATACACTTTAAACTTTGCATTTTTTATAATATAGATTTATTAAAATGAACAACATCCTTTTTGGATAAAAATTAAATACAACCGCTGATGTTTAAAGATAGGTTGTCAGGTAACAAAACATACGCCCACAGCAGCTAAATCGTCCGAGCGGTCGACAAGGGTTGTCGCATATTTATTCCTTTTTAGGTAATTGGGGGCCTTTACAAGACAGTTCCATACAGATCAGATTATAAATTTTGTCATTTGAGGGTTAACCAGGTTCTACAAACTGAAACAAGGGTCTCAACTCTGGAAGTAATCTACAGAAATTGCTGAAATTTGACAGGCTTTTTCGTTTTACTAATTTAAATAATACATATAAATTTCATACAGATCACATGATCACTTTTGTCATTCAAACGTTCACAATCGCCATAACTCTAGAAATTATTGCTGAAATTCAACAGACCTGTTTCACAAATTTAAATGATGCATATAAATTTCATACATATTGGATGATAACTTTTATCAATCGAGCATTAACAAGGTTTAACAAAGTGAAACAAGGGCAATAACTCTAGAAGTAATTATTGTAAATTGCTGAAATTCAATACGATTTTTCGTTTTACTAATTGAAATCATGCATATAAATTTCACAAAGATCGGGTGTTAACTTTTTGCGTTAGAGCGTTCATAAGGATCAATAAAGTGAAACAAGGGCCATAACTCTAGATGTAATAAACGGAAATTGCTGAAATTCAAAAGGCTTCAGCGTTTCACTAATCTAAATAATGCATATAAATTTCACAAAGATCGGATGATAACTTTTAACGTTAGAGCGTTCACAAGGATCAATAAAGTTAAACAAGGGCCATAACTCTAGACGTAATAAACCGGATTTGCTGAAATTTAATATGCTTCTTCGTTTCAGCAATCTAAATAATGCATATACATTTCAGAAAGATCGGATGATAACTTTTGACGTGAGAGCATTCACAAGGATCAATAGAGTGAAACAAGGGCCATAACTCTATACGTAATAAACGGAAATTGCCGAAATTCAATAGGTTTCTTCGTTTCAGTAATCTAAATAATGCATATAAATTTCAAAAAGATCAGATGATAACTTTTGACGTGAGAGCGTTCACAAGGATCAATAAAGTGAAACGAGGGCCATAACTCTAGACGTAATAAACAGAAATTGCCGAAATTCAATAGGCTTCTTCGTTTCAGTAATCTAAATAATGCGCATAAATTTCAGAAAGATCGGATGATAACTTTTGGAGTTAGAGCGTTCACAAGGTTCAATAAAGTGAAACAAGGGCCATAACTCTAGACTTAATAAACGGAAATTATTGAAATTAAATAAGCTTCTTCATCTCACTAATGTAAACAACATATATCAATTTTAAAACAATTGGATGATAACTTTTGGCGCTAGAGCGTTCACAAGAAATTGTGGACGATAGACGGACGGACAGTGGGGGGCGACGGCAATATACATTCACATTTCAATGTGGGCGTATAAAAATAGAATTAAACTGATACCTTGTTAAATGTATTTTCACTGAATATATCTGATTTATGAAGAAAGTTCAGACGTTTACTGAATATTTTTACAACACTATCGTGTGCATATATAAAATGGGGATTGACAGGAAATGTGGACTGTTTGATGAGTAATATTTAGTTTCCACTGAAATGGAACATAATGAATTCTTCATATCCATTTAGCGAGAGAGAGAGAGAGAGAGAGAGAGAGAAATGAGGTTTAAGGTCCACTCGACACAAACTAGGTCATTTTGGGACTAACATATGGTTTAATTTTATTTCAATAATTCGCTTGCGCGTAGGGGTTGTTAGCAGTGGGAGAAAACTGGAGGACCCATAGAAAACCCATGAGGTTAGACAGGTGACCTTACTCCTTGTCAGGTATAACCGGGGATTCGAAACCATGCCAGTTGACTCAATGACAAGCCTTATGATACAGCGTGCACGTGCTAACCATTCGGCCATCCACCCCCTATCCGTTTAGCAAAATTATAACCATTTTTAAAAAACACTATGAAGGAGAACATTATGAGTCTTCGTATATGTTTTACTGGATTCCTTGACCTCAAAAACATAGGTATAGATAGACATCAAGATCACTGAAATCACTGCACTTACAGAAATTTTATGGACAAGAACTGTTTTATGGCGGCCATTTTGAATTTCTCAATTTTTTGCGGGAACAGCTGGAGTGACGTCGTGGTTCCCCCCTTTTTGGAATCAGCATACCCCAAAACCCCCATGGCCACCCATTTCACATATCTGCCCCACTAGTCTGCAGTACGGTAGTGAAATCTTCATTAAAGAAATAGACTTGACAATCAAGTCTGCTATTAAAAATCACGAGAGTTGGAAATAATGGCGGAGAGAGAGAGAGAGAGAGAAATGGGGTTTAACGTCCACTCAACACAAACCAGGTCATTTCGGGACTAACATATGGTTTAATTTTATTTACATAATTCGCTTGCGCGTAGGGGTCTTTAGCAGTGGGAGGAAACCGGAGGACCCGGAGAAAACCCACGAGGTTGGACAGGCGACCCTACTCCTTGCCACGTACAACCGGGGATTCGAAACCACGCCAGTCGACTCAATGACAGACTTTATGATACAGCGCGCGCACGCTAACCATTCAGCCATCCAACCCCCCGGAAATAATGGCGGGAAAGGCCAATTGTTTTACACACACTCATCTATTCCACACTTGATCAAAATGGTTAAATAATATGTTTGCAAGTACGACCTCACTCCTACAACGATAATTTCTTGCGGTGGACAATTTTATTTTCATTTCTGGTAATGAAATATTGTTAAATGAAATATATTTCGGATATAAATAGGGGCAATATAAATATTTTCAAAGGAGAATTTGATAAGAGCCATGAACAAAATATCCATGACAAAAACAGTCGGCTCACAGGCTTGACTCGCCATCTTCAAAATAAAAAGATGTCAGCCCGTCCAGTTATTTATCGGCGCCAGGCCGACGTAAATTTTAAACACTGAACACGTGTCGACAAACTAAACACTAGTTAATTAGAGGCTTGGTAATCAAAATTAAACACTGAGATTTAAATTGGATAGTAGTACAAATTGAACACTATTAGCCGAAATTAAACTATAGTTATGAATATTTGAACACAGGACAGAAATTAACGCTATTTACGCGAGATTAAACGATACCAATCTTACAGTGATATACACACTGGCGCCAAAGTCCGGGCTACATTTCCCCCATGGCACACTGTATGGCGGAAGTCCGTCTTCATTAGCCCAGTTGGTGTGGAAAAGTAGGACGATAAACCTCATTTCATTTTGTTTTAATTTCGTCAAGAACACTGCTATCTATGAAATTCCGTATTGCTTTATGCAACTTGAATAAAATATTGTTGGAAAAAAACTACCATAAAGTTAGTCAGGTCAGTATAATGAAGTAATCAGAAATAAAATCTTCATTGCTATCCATTTTCCTTTAAAGGCTGTTTCATCCCCATAATATGGGATTTCTAAATTTATATCTTTGAACCATTTCAAGAAAAAGTTTATCATTATAAAGTGACATTTTAGTAAGAGCAGTAATAGAATACAGATCAACAGTATATAAGTATTAATATTGGCTTAACTGTAAAAAATATCAAATAAAATTCTCCAAATCCTTCACTTGTCCTCAACAAAAAAAAAAATGAAAAATGTTGTTTAGCTTAAGTTATATTTGAAATAGTATTTGCCAACCACATCACGTTCGACGTTGTTTCAATTTCGGAATTAATTCCCCGTTTGTACGTGACAAGGAGTAGGGTCGCTTGCCCAGCCTCATGGGTTATCTCTGCTAGACCCTACGCGCAAGTGAATTATTGAAATAAAATTGAACCATATATTAGTCTTGAAATGAGCTAGTTTGTGTCGAGTGGTCGTTAAACCCTATTTCTCTTTCTCTCTCTAAATTTCAGCACTCCGTCCAACCATCAACCAGATGAAGAGCGAGTCAATTATATCAAGATAATGGTCCCGATCAGGTGCGCAATCACCAAATGAGCACACAGTGGCGACACCAAACTACTTCATAAGGTTGCTAGGCAGAAGTGTAAAAATTCTAAATTCCTTGATGTTCATGCTAAACGTGTAAAGCATCCATGAAGAAGACATTTTTCGTCTAAATAATAGAAATAAGATGAAATAGAATAAAAATTTACACTGAAAAATTGATGTTGGATTATACATTGTCTTAATTTAAAAATTACACGAATATAAGTTAGAAATTACATGAATAGAAGTTAAAAATTACATGAACAGAAGTTAGAAATGAGACGATAGTACGTTAGAATTTTGAATCTAATATACTACCATAGTCCTGTGGTAACAGTATTGAATTTAACAGAACTTCCATTTATGCAGTTTCCTGCAATTCTTGAACTGAGAATTTTCATACAATGCTTGAGATAACATTTATTCAGTTACACCATTCAGTAGATTTTTCCATTACCTTTATATGTAATATCTGAGGAGATACACCAGGAATAACCTCCCTTGTGCTTGCACTAAAATATGCAATTTCTTCCCTCATTATGGACGGTTTTAATACAAAACCACAGCCACCATTTTTACGAAACCAACCATTATATAGATCCATCATTAAGCCAGCTGTCTGAAAGTTCAAGGCAACTGAAAATAGAACAAATTAAAATACTTTTAAAAATGTTTCATGTTTCATAATTTAGTATTTTTTTAAAATAAAGATGTCTTTTGTATATAGAAGAAATGAACTTATTTTTGTTGTCGGACATGTTATTTCTGTAAATTCCATATTTATATTTATACTTACAATCAAATAGTTTCAGGAGACAAATGAGAGACAGAAAGAAAGAGAAATGCGGTTTAATGTCTAGTCAACACAAATCAAGTAATTTAGAAACTAACCTAATTATGGTATATCATTATTCCATTACTTCACTTGCATTCAGGAGACATTACAATGTAACCCAGGTATCATTTAATCTTGTGTATCTAGCACTAATTTCTTTCACATTCGTTTAATATCCAATCTTTGTTTAAAAATTCGAAATTCGAAAAAACTGTTTCAAATCACCATAAATTGTTTAATTTGTAGTTCTGTCCAGTTTAAAACTGACCATTCAATTTTGATAATGAGTGTCCAATTTACAAGTGTTTAATTTCTCAATCACTGTTAAAAAATAAACAACCCAATTGATTAATGATGGTCAGGAAATTAAATACTTGTAAATTGGACACTCATTATCAAAATTAATCAGTCAGCTTTAAACTGGACAGAAGTACAAATTAGATGATTTTTGGTGATTTTAAACGATTTTTACGAATTTTTAAACAAAGATTTGATATTAAACGAATGTGAAAGAAATTAGTGCTAGATACACAAGATTAAATGATACCTGGGTTACAGTGATTAGAAATGGAAGGAAATCCGAGAGACCCTACTTCTTGGCACTCCCACAAGCCTGGGATTGAAATGAAATGAAATGGGGTTTAACGTCCTACTGTTCTGCTTCTAACCTGGGCTAATGAAGACGGGCATATGCCATACAGTGTGCTATGAGGGAAATTTTGCCCGGGCAGCAGCGCTACGGCCTACTCCGAATTCCAACTGCCAAGGGATCTTTTACGTGCACACCAATATGTACACAGGAACTCGGTTATTCGTCCCATCCGAACGACTAGACAGCTATCCTTGTCAAGCCCTCCCCGTCCTGCATCACTGACAAGGGGAAAACCACGCCGGAAAATCTGGATGAACTTTCTCGGCCAATGCAGGGATCGAACACCCGACCTCCAGGCTAGCGAGCCAGCATCTTACCCACCTAGCCTGGGATTGAAACTACAACAATTGACTCAAAGATCTTAAAGCACTCACAACCTCCCAAAAACAAATTTCAAAACATTATTTTAACTGACATCGTCAACCTCCAGTACTCCACAAATTGACCGACAGCTAGACAGTGGCGATACTTGCATCTGATCTATGGCAGAAAGGTAACCAAGTCTAGCCTAATGACGTTCTGTTAAACAAGCCAACAGTGAGGCTGATGTCCCCCGCCGAAATCCCTAAAGAAATAGATGACACATATTAATTAATCCGACACTGCATTCACCTAATGAATATCTACACCAAGTTTGAACATTCTACCTCAATTAAAAGCAGATTTTTTTTATGTCCAAAGTCTAGACCAATCAAATTGCTTCTTAGCTTACGCAGAAAATTCTCATTATCGAACTTAGTCAATAAGGTATTGATATAATGAAACTATAATCTGAATTTCATCCCTCTCACCCAGTTTTCTTGTTTCAAAGTCTCAATCAATCAAATTGCTAATTTTGGCTTAACCCTAGTACCATGGCAAATGCTTAACATCAGACTCTGTCAAGACATTTATTTCGTTTAAAAATTCGAAATTACTGTTTAAAATCACCATAAATTGTTTAATTTGTAGTTCTGTCCAGTTTAAAGCTGACCGTTCAATTTTGATAATGAGTGTCCAATTTACAAGTGTTTAATTTCTCAATCACTGTTAAAAAATAAACACTAGAGTACGTAGCTCATGGTAGTTTTGTATGCACTTATATGTCCAGTGCTAAACTCTTCAAAAATCATCTATTTGAAGGTCATTGAACATTTTTTGATTGGTGACACATTTGTCACCAGGGCCGAAATACGTGAAAATGCCACGCCCCTTTTTAAGCGCAGCAATACCCCCTGCCATTACTGTATCTCTAGAACCGGTGGACCCAGAAGGTTGTGTGACCACTCAAAATCTTCGGAATGGTCACATTATAGGGGGTCTGTAATACATTTATTTGTTTAAAAGTCAATAGCTTTTAAGATATTTACCAAAAACTGATTTATTATTATATAATTTACTCATTATTATATTACTTGTTGCAATTTTTTTCAATTGTCTATTTTAGAGTTCAATTATGTGAATTTTTTACACTTATTGCTTTTACTACAGTCACAAAATATTACATATTTTATGTTCATTCTTCTGCAAGTGCATTAAAAAACCCTTGACAGTCGGAAATCTAACAAAAAAAAGAAGGGGAGTTATCCCCTTAATACTGATTTCAAGAGGGTATGAACCTCCCAGTTGATGTTACTATATAATGGCAGGATTTCATTATAGTTGAATTGTGCATATTACAATCATCTTAACAAAGTGTTTTTGTAATAACTGCATTATCTACAATTAATTACGCTTAGCCAAAATATTTTGACAGGAAATGTTAGTGGTTTCAAGGTCAGCAGCCAAGGGAGCTTTTGATGGGACTGCATGCGTTATATGTAACTCTGCAGGAAAAACTTTAACACAAACTAATGATGGGCGTGTTAAAATCCGAATGGCAGCAGAACAATTGTAAGATTCTTTAGTCGCCTCAAGAATAAATGCATACAGCAACACATTTATGTACCATCTGAAGCCGAAATGTTGTTATTCTACTTACATTCTGAAGTCGAAATGATCTGCCAAAACAAAAGATAGGTTGCCAGGCAACGTAACATAAGCCCACAGCAGCTAAATCGTCCGGGCAGTCAACAAGAGTTGTCGCATATTTTTACTTTTTTTGGTAATGAAACATTTATAATACACTAAAATCTGATTAAGAGCAACAACTCAGAAAACCATTAGAATTTGTTTGGTTTTTATAAAGTTCTGCCCCATGCTAACGTTTTGTATACAAAACTTTTAATACTGTATTATGGATTTAGCTGTTACAAGTCATAAAAATTAATTGAAAATCAATATACTTGTTCATCTCAAGATCTTAAACTCTGTGTATCAATCTAAAGTCAATCGGATATTAACTTTGGCCTCTAGAGCGTCCACAAGATTTTTCAAAGTGATCAAGGGCCATAACTCTGGCAGTAATTATCGTAAATTGCTGAAAATCAATAGGATTCTTTGTCTCATGACCTTAAGCACTGTGTATAAATTTAAAGTCAATCAGATATTAACTTTGGCCTCTAGAGCGTCCAAAAGATTTTTTGAAGTGATCAAGGGCCATAACTCTGGCAGTAATTATCGGAAATCGCTGAAAATCAATAGGCTTCTACGTCTCCACCTTAAACACTGTGTATAAATTTAAAGTCAATCGGATATTAACTTTGGCCTCTAGAGCGTCCACACGATTTTTTGAAGTGATCAAGGGCCATAACTCTGGCAGTAATTATCGTAAATCGCTGAAAATCAATAGGCTTCTTCGTCTCATGGCCTTAAACACTGTATCTAAATTTAAAGTCAATCGGATATTAACTTTAGCCTCTAGAGCGTCCACAAGCAATTGTGGACGCCGGACCGCCGGACGGACGGGGGCGACGACAATATACGACCACATTTCAATGTGGGCATATAAAAATGAGCCAGAACTTGTTGAAGAGGTTGAAGAGGAGGAAAGCAGTGACAGTTATAACGTCGCCAAATGACGAAAGAAGAGTTCTAGTTCGAGTTACAAAGATACTGAAAGAAAGTGTGTTATATGTGACAGAGTAAGAGAGAGTTGTGGTGATAGGGGTCGGGTACTGTGTCGCATCTCAGAGTCTGACAGAGCAGCATCGTTTCTAGATGCTTTGAACTTTTATAAAGACGAAGTTAATACAAGGTGTGCTTTTTTTGATGAAGCTGGTGATGTTTTTGCTGCAGATGTATTCTATCATGGGAATTGTTTACGACAATACTTGCTGAAGTATAATGGACAAATTGATGCATTGTTTGAAAATATCCAGCGATCAAATGAGGCAGCTACACTTGACTTAAACTGCAAATTTGTATTTGATAGTCTCGATTTTAAAACTAGCAGCTACAGTGTTAGCCACATTTGTGACCTCGTCAATGCTAACTTAGAGACAGATAAGCAAATAGATAACAGACGGACAAAGGTTCTTTTAATCAAGTGCTTCAAGGACACAATCTGCTTCACCTATCCTGATGACAGGCGAAAATCACAGATGGTTTATTCTAGCTCTCTCCTGCAGGGTAATATCATAGAGACTTTAAGATCTTCTGTAAAGTCAGGCCCACAGAAGTGTGCAATGGAGCTACTGCATGAATGCAAAAATTATGATGTTAAACTTTCAATGGACCACTACACATCACATCGTCCCCAACAGTGGGTGCAGTTTATGAAGTTTATGTTTCTGAATGGCTATTAAAGTTTGACACACTCTTTCAGTTTATTTATTATTGGTTAAGTTCTGGAAGGAGTAGAACTCCATTTCACAGTAGTTTGACACAAACGGTCCATAAACTCTCAAGATCAAGACAGCTTGTTGACATCATGAATAGGATGAATTTAGCTATCAGCTATGATACAATGCAGAGAATCAACACTTCAGTGGCCCAAAAAAAGGTAGAGGTTTCTCTTCCCAATAGATGTCCTGTGTCATCAAAGATTTCTGAATGCCATGTTGTCCAAGGAGCAATGGACAATTTTAACCATACAGAGAACACTATTTTAGGAAAAGATTCTAGTCATGACACTGTTCTAGTCATATTTCAAAACCAGCCAATAGATAGTGATTCTGATGGCATTCAGATGACAAGCTGTTCTGAACCACTTTGAAAGAGAAAGTTAGCTGATGTGCTCCCCTGCCAAGTCATTGCAAAGTCACACCTGGTCAAAGGCACTGGTGATAT